TGTGGCCGAGGTCAGGGAATTTACTGCTTGTTTTCTCCCATAGGATTTTGATGGTTTCCTATCTTATATTTAGGTCTTTGTCCATTTTGAATTTATTTTTGTATATGGTATAAGAAAGTGGGTCCAGTTTCATTCTTCTTCATGTTGCTGTCCAGTTCTCCCAGCACCATTTGCTAAAGAGACTGTCTTTTATTTCCCCATTGGATACTCTTTCCTGCTGTGTCAAAGATTTGTTGGCCATATATTATTGAGTCCATTTTTTGGGTTCTCTATTCTATTCCATTGATCTACAAACATTCATGCTATTAAAATTCAGAATGGAAAGCAGTATATTTTATTTTATAGTCCAGCAGTATGTATTTTTTCTTTACTATTTTATATAATTGAAGTCTAGTTAAAACGCAACATTACATTAGTTTCAAAAGTACAGCATAATGATTTGATGAGTCTGTATAATATGCTCTGTTCACCACAAGTGTAGCTAACATCATACAGTGCTTCTAATACTATTTTAAAAATTATCTGTTCCCTCTCACATGCTAAGTTTCAGTATGCATATGGATTTGTTTCTAGATGGAAAGCTGTTTCATTATTTTTCCTAGACTTGAGTCAGTATCACAGAATTATCTTTCCTTTTTTTAAGTTTATTTATTTATTTTGAGAAAGAGCAAGGGAAGGCAAGTGGGGGAGGGGCAGAGGGAAAATCCCAAGCAGGTTCTGCACTAAAAGAGCAGAGCTTGATGTGGGGCTCAAACTCATGAACCTTGTGATCATGACCTGAGTTGAAGTGGATGCTTAACTGACTGAGGCACCCAAATGCCCCAGTATCACAGTATTTTCTTTATTATTGATCCTAAATAAAGGGCAGATTTCCTCCCACCCTCCTTAAAAATTTGCTTTCTTGTGATGCCTGGGTGGTTCAGAGGGCTAAGCCTCAGACTCTTGATTTCAGCTCAGATCATGATCTAGTGGTTGGTGGGATCTAGTCCCTGTCAGACTCTGCACTCACAGTTCAATGTTTGCCTGGGATTCTCTCTCTCTTTCTCTCTCTCTCTGCTCCTCCCCTGCTCACACACACACACTTTCTCTCAAAATAAATAAAAACTAAAAGAAATGAAAAAAAGTTGCTGTCTTGTATGTTCAAATTGCTTGATTCCTATGCCTTTCGTCTGAAGTTCAGAATTGGTGTGTTAAGTTCCTTGAAACCTCTTAATGGATTTTTGCTTAAATTTCATTTGACTTATAGTTTGAATTGATATAAATGGTCCTTACAATGTTAAATATTGAAATATATGAATAAGATATGACACAGGAGGAAGTATAGAAAAGAAGATCGGTTCTCTAGGTGTTTTAAACAGAAAGGAATTTAATGTAGGGGATTAACTGCTGGCTAGGTTCCTAGAGTAAATATGTATTTCTTTTGTTTGTTTAGTTTTCAAATATATGGGGTCAGGGATGGCTATTTTTGTTTCTTTCTTTTTGTCATCAGAGAATGATATATATTCTTTGGTGTTTGTTGAAAATATCCTCTGTGGGACATCCAGATGGAAAACAGACACATGAAATGATGCTCAGCATCTCTCATCATCAGGGAAATACAAATCAAAACCACACTGAGATACCACCTCACGCCGGTCAGAGTGGCTAAAATGAACAAATCAGGAGACTATAGATGCTGGCGAGGATGTGGAGAAATGGGCACCCTCCTACACTGTTGGTGGGAATGTAAACTGATGCAGCCCCTCTGGAAAACAGTGTGGAGGTTCCTCAAAAAATTAACAATAGGACATCCCTATGACTCAGCAATAGCACTGCTAGGAATTTACCCAAGAGATACTGGAGTGCTGATGCATAGGGGCACATGGACCCCAATGTTCATAGCAGCACTCTCAATAATAGCCAAGATATGGAAAGAGCCTAAGTGTCCATCAACAGAAGAATGGATCAAGAAAATGTGGTTTATCTATACAATGGAATACTACATGGCAATGAGAAAGAATGAAATCTGGCCATATGTAGCAACATGAATGGAACTTGAAGGTGTTATGCTGAGAGAAATAAGTCAGGCAGAGAAGGACAGATACCATATGTTTGCACATATAGGTGGGTTGGGAGGAACTTAACGGAGGACCATGAAGGAAAAGAAGGGGAAAAATACTTGGGGATGTGGAGAGAGGCAAACCATGAGAGACTCTTGAATACTGAGAACAAACTGAGGGCAGATGGGGGTGGGGGAGGGGGGAAGGGGGGTGATGGGCATGGAGGAGGGCACTTGTTGGGATGAACACTGGGTGTTATATGGAAACCAACTTGACAAATTGTTTAAGAAATAAAAGAAAATATCCTCTGTGGCTTACAGGATCATCAATTTTAATGAATGTTTATAGTTTGCAAATTATATGGGTGTTATGGTTTTGGGTATGGGATTCTATAAATGTCCTTTAGATCAAGCATATGAATGTTTTGTCTGCTTGATCAATCGATATCCTAGAAAAGAGCCTTAAGATGTTCCACTGTGATTGTGAATTTGCAGATTTCTCCTTGTACTGATGATACTTTTTGCTTTACAGTTTTGAGATTATGTTGTGAAATGAATATAAACTTAAGCATTCAGAATTCCTGAAGAGTTCTGTCCTTTATCATTATCCCATGAAATCCTATAAAAATTTTTTTTTGCCTTAAACTGTATTTTGTCTGATATTTTTAGAGCCACACAAATTCCTTTTTGTTTAGGGTTTACTTGTGTATGTTTTCCATACCTTTACATTTTCTCTGTCATTGTATTTTAGTTATATCCCTTGTACACACATAATAGCTGGATTTTCCCAAATTTTCTATTTTGGATAATTTTAAATGTGTAGAAAAGTTGAAGGAATAGAACAAAAAATATGCTTTTCTTTTCTCTAAATTCATCAGTTGTTTATATTTTTTCACTTTTGCTTCTCTATTACACAATTTATAATATTATATATATTACACAGTTTATTTTGTTGAAGTCTTTGATGTAAACTGCAGGCATCCTGCTACTTTCCTCTTAAATTATTTATACTGAATTGCACATATTCCATTATATAAATGTACATAAAATAGATACTCATATGCATATATATACACACATTTCACTCATTTAACATTTTATTGCTGAGTAATTCATTGATGGATATATTACAGTGTGTTTTTTTTTTTCCTAGGAGAGAGAGAGAGAGACAGTGTGAGCAGGGGAGGGTCAGAGAGAGGGAGTCACAGACTGAAACAGGCTCCAGGCTCTGAGCTGGCTGTCAGCACAGAGCCTGATGCGGGGCTCGAACCAACGAACCGCGAGATCATGACCTAAGTGAAGGTCGGACGCTTAACCGACTAAGCCACCCAGGAGCCCCTATTACAGTGTGTTTTATCAGTTCATTAATTGAAAGACATTTGGGCTTTTTTCCAAGGTTTTGGCTATTACAAATTAAGCTGCTGTGAACATTTGTGTATAAGTCTACATATGGACAATACTATGTTTTTTTGCTGTTATATACCCAGGAATAGAATGGCTAGATTGTATGGTAGGTGTATGTTTAACTTTTAAAGAAATTGTCAGTTTTCCAAAGTGCTTGTATCATTTCTATTCCCCCAGCAGTGTGTAAGAGTTCTGTTTCTTCTACATCCTGGCCAATACTTTGATCCATCTTGTTAGTTTTAGCCATTCTGACAGGTGCATTTTGGTACCTCGCTGTGATTTTATTTTAATTTATTATTATTTATTTACTTACAGTTTTTATTTAAGTAATCTTTACAAATAACATGGGGCTGGAACGCATGACCCAGCGACCAAGAGTGGCATGCTCCTTCCATTTAGCAGCGAAGTGCCTCCTTTCCTTGTGACTTAAAATTACATTACCATACTGACAAATGATTCTGAATATCTTTTCATGTTTCTCTTTCCCATCAGTGTATCTTTTTAGTGCAGTGTTGGTTTAAATCTTTTACCCACTTTATCGGTTTGTTTGTTTTCTTATTACCAGGCTTTGAGAATCCATTCCATTAAATTTCAACATGCACAGGGGACTAAAACTGATCGATATCTCTTGTTTACTTCCTAAGTAAAATTCTGACTCACTGTCTCCCATTTAAGGTTTTTGCTCGTTAGAATGTGAGGTCCACTTTGTTTTGTCCATTTGTCTTTTTCTTCCCCACCTGCTCATCCATCTCTATCCCCTCTGTTCTCTTCTTTGGGAACTCCCGTCAGAAATGTCTTACCTTCTCAGTGCATCCTTCTTGTCTCTTCCTTAATCTTCACATTTTCCATTTCTTTCTCTCCCCGTGTTGCTTTCTGGAGAATTGTCTCATGGCTGCCTTCTTAACCCTCTATTTCTGTTGAACAGTTTTATGTCTTTTCTAATGTTCTGATTTTAGTGACTGATGTATTTTTCACTTGCAGAAGTTGCTTTTACATTTTCACTGATATTTTTCTTAGTGTCCTCTTTATGCCATGGACCCCTTTGGCCTCCTGGTGAATCCTATGGACCCTTTCTTGGAATAATGTTTTTAGATGCATAACAGAAAGAATAGAAATGACATTGGGACAGCATTCAGTTCTAGCATCTGATCATTGAGATTTTCAAGCATTTCTGCTCGGTCCATCTCACCTCCCAAGTGTACCAATCCCCTCAGGGACTTTCCCTCCCTTCTTCAGAGAAGGTAAAGGAGGGACAGCCAAGCAGATTTTGGGGGCAGGGACGGGTGGGGAGGAGGATGAGTTGGGCTAAGGAAGGGTTCCTGAGATGACATTAGTTTCTTCCTTTTCCCTTCCATCTACAAGCCTCCTCAGTTCCCTAACCCTTCAATCTTCCCCGAGATCAGGTCCAGTTTTTTTCTGGTTTTACTTCTCTTCCATCCTTGCCACCTCTTGCTCAGCCCCGCCCACTTGCTAAGCCTGCTCATCTGTGGCCACACCCCCTAGGCTCCTTCTCCTTAAGTTCCACCAGCTCCCCCCCAAGCCTCTGTTCCCTGCCAATCATGCTGGACCACCCTCTGGGGCTGCCCCAGAACGCACACCTGGTGGGTCGGTGGCTTCGCCCCTCTGGGGCTGCCAAGAGATGGCTCAAGCGGCAGGCTGCTTTTCTGAAAACCAGTTCCGGGAGGCCTGTGCTGAGCTCCAGGAATGGGGTCCAGGAGGGGCCAACTGGGAATTGCTGGTGAGGACCCTGGGCTTCAGAGTCTACAGGCGGCGATACCAGGTAGTAGCCCACCCGGTGGAGGACCCTGTGCTGTAGCTTGCCAGGGCCAGCCTCCCCGGGGGAGTCTGGGGTTGTAGCCACAGATGTCAGGGCAGGAGTTGGTCATGAGGAGCTGGGAGGAGTGAGCATAGGGGTTGTGCCTGCAGCTGATTTGTCCTCTGTGGTTGGGAGGTTATCTGAATTCAGTGGCAGGTCTGCAGGTCTGCTAGTGTTAAATGTAGGTTAGCGGAGTCTGAGCCCCATGCACTTGGCTCCTAGGGCTATGAATCCCCCTCCTGGGTAGTTCCCACTGTTGTTTGTGTTAGTGGGTTGGGGAGAAGCCCAGGGTTTGCCTACAGGTGGAAAGAAGACTGCACTGTTCAGAGACTGGATGTGCAGGGAGATAGTGTGCTTGTGGAGCAACGTGGCTGGGAAGGGAGATACTAGCATATCAGTCACTCTACTGGCTTGTTTCTTTTCGCAGTTGCCCCTTCCTTATAAGGTGCACTTAATAGTTTAGTCTGAAGCTTTAAGGACAAAGATTTACTTACAGGGTAGGAGGAATGAAGTTGGTTATTGAGCAATTCTCCAGGTGCACCCGGAGGCCTTTGGAATCAGGTAGCAGCTATCCAGGTGGAATGATTGTGTTGCACCTGAGACCTTTCATCAGTTATAGTGAATGATAGTAGCTGATGGCACATGGGATAATAAATCACCTTTAGGCAAGTGCTGTGAAATCAAGGCTTCCTGGCAGAGAACCAGAGTGGTATAGTGTTAGAGTAGGGAGGCTCTCTGAAGGCGTGTGTAGCAGGGCCTCTGGTTATGACAAAATGAACAAGAAGCTCACAGTCCAGCGCAGGCAGAATTAATTTCTGCGTGTAATTTCATTAGTTGCCTTGGTGCCAAAATGGACCTGTTTTCAGACAAAATCCTTTATTCTTCTCTCTGACCATTCTGTTTCCTTACCAGCCCATCCAGGCATTTGCTAAGCTTTGCCAATTCGACTGCGCAGACATGTCTGATAACTGGCCCCTTCCCTTTCCTTTCCTTTGTGGTTGGCACTTTGGATGGTACCTCTCACCTCGAATTGCAGAAGACCTCTGACATTCCACCTCTCTGATCCCTTCTGTCCTACACATTACAGCCTGATTAGGCACCTGAAGGAGAGGCTGTGGGCTTACCACTCCCCTTTCACTGGCACTGTTGACTGCACAATGAATACTAAGAGTAACTAACTAATGCTAATACTGACCATTGTAGTAGCTGTCCCATGTTCCAGGCACTGTTTAAGAATTTTGTAGCTATTGGGGCGCCTGGGTGGCTTAGTCGGTTAAGCGTCTGACTTTCGCTTAGGTCATGATCTCGCGGTTTGTGGGTTTGAGCCCCGCGTTGGGCTCTGTGCTGCCTGCCAACTCGTAGCCTGGAGCCTATTTCAGAGTCTGTGTCTCCCTCTCTCTCTGACCCTCCCCTGCTCACGCTGTCTCTCTCTCTCTCTCTCCTAGAAATAAAATAAAAATATTAAAAAAAAAAAAGAATTTTGTAGCTATTGACATACTCAATCTTCATGTCAGTTTAAAAAAAATTTTTTTTACAGTTATTCATTTTTGAGAGACAGAGTGCAAACTGGGGGAGGGCATAGAGAGAGGAAGACACAGGATCTGAAGCAGGCTTCAGGCTCTGAGTTATCAGCACAGAGCTCGATGTGGGGCTCGAACCCATAAACCTTGAGATAATGACCTGAGCCAATGTTGAATGCTTAACTGACTGAGCCACACAGACGCCCCCTCGTGTCAGTCATAATATGGCACTGTGATGATCACCTTTTTACCTATACGCAAATGAATGTGTGGAAAGGTTAAGGTGATTGCTCAAGGTCTGAATTAAGATCAGAACTCACCTGTCTACTTTCAGACCTGTGCCATGAACAGGCTCCTGCATTGCCTCTCTGAAAGAAGGCAAATGCTGCTGGGTAGACTATACAGATCTTTCTCAACTTATGATGGGTTTGCATCCTGATAAACCCATTGTAAGCTGAAAATATCATAGGCTGAAAATGCATTTAATACATCTCATCTACTGAACATCACAGCTCAGTCCAGCTAATCTTAACTGTGCTCGGAATGCTCTCATTAGCTTGCAGTTGGGCAAAATCATCCAATGCAATGCCTATTTTATACGGAAGTGTTGAATATCATGTAAATTTTTGAATAGTGTACTGAAAGTGAAAACAGAATGGTTGTATGCGTGCAGAATAGTTGTAAGTGTATCAGTGGTTTACCCTGTGGCTCACTGCCCCTGCCCAGCATCAGGAGAAGGTACTGGATCACATAGCACTAGCCCAGGGAAAGAGAACAGTTCCAAATTCAAAGTACCATGTCTACTGCATGCATATTGCTTTTGTGCCTTGGTAAAGTCAAAAAATTATACATTGTACTGTCATAAGTCATTGACCCTTTATACTGAACTAGTTTCGTTCTAACTTTATTTCCAGCCTTATCTCCCACAACTCCTCTGCACACCCCTCATCTTCCAGCCAACCTAGATTAGTCCATGTTTTACTCCATGGGCCTGTGCTTTTATGCCTGTGCTTGAGAAGAATAGGTATTAACTCCTCTTTAAATGTCTGGTAGAATACTTCTGGAAGCCATCTGGCCCTGGACTCTTATTTGTTGGGAGGTTTTTGATTACTGAATCAATTTCTCCACTGATTATGGCTCAAATGCTCTATTTCCTCATGGTTGAGTTTTGGTAATGTGCGAGTGTCTAGGAATTTGTCCATTTCTTCCCGATTGTCCAGTTTGTTGGCATATAACTCTTTAATAATTGTTTTTATTTCTCTGATGTTGGTTGTGATATCTCCTCTTTCATTTGTGATTTTATTTATTTGGGTCCTCTCTTTGAGAAGTCTGGTTACAGTTCATGAACTTTGTTTATTCTTTCACAAAACCACGTCTCAGATTCATTTTTCCGTTCTGTTTTTTTGAATTTTATATCATTTATTTCTACTCCAATCTTTATTATTTCTTCTGCTGGTTTTGGACTTTATTTGCTGCTTCATCTCTATCTTCTTTAGATAGAAGGTTAGATTGTGTATTTAGGACCTTTCTTGCTTCTCGAGATAGACCTTACTTGCACTGTATTTTCCTCTTAGGACTGCCTTTGCTGCATTCCAAAGGGTTTAATCTGTCATGTTTTCATTTTCATTTGCTTCCATGTATTTTTTAATTCTTCTTTAAATTCCTGGTTTACTCATTCATTCTTTACTAGTATGTTCTTTAACCTCCATGTATTTGTGGGCTTTCCAAATTTTTTTCTTAATGTTGATTCAAGTTTCATAGCATTGTGATCTGAAAATATGCATGATATGACCTCAGTTTTTTCAAAATTGGTTTTTAATGTTTATTTATTTTTGAGAGAGTGAGAGAGAGCGTGTGTGCACTAGCATGTGGTGGAGGGGCAGAGAGAGGGAAACAAGATCTGAAGCAGGCTCCAGGCTTGAGATGTCAGCACAGATCCCAATCATTGAAATCATTAATCAGATAGCCACCCTTCTCAGGGTAAACAGATTTTGCTGGGGCTTTTATCCATCCTGCCAGGTTGACTGTTTCCTTGGGAACAACCTGCTACGTGTCTGGATCATGGATAGCCATTTATGTAGGTCCATTGTGAACGTGATGATGATCTATTATTGTACGTTTTGAAATGATTGAAGTATAGAGGCATTTAGTTATCCAGCATAACAAATAAATTATATTTTAAAATTTAAAAAAAGATTGTAGTGTTTTTTTCCAGTAGACAAAGAATTTTGAATCATTCTTGGACAGATAGCCACTTTGAAGGACAATATTTTGATACATTTTCTTTTTCTCTTTTTCTATTAAATCACAGAACTTTTTGACTTTGAAAGTTTCTTTGAAACCATTCTGTACAACACCATCATCTTTTCCGTTCACTTCTTTTTTTCTACTTTCTTTGCTTCCTCTGTCTCTTTCTTTTCTTCTTTTTTTCCTCCCCAGGTTGTAATATTAATAACTTTCCCTTACATGGTGGTTTAATTTACAAAATGCTGTCACACATAAGTTTTCTTTACCCTGTAAACAAATCTGGAAGAGGGGTGTTTGGGTAGCTCAGTCTTCAGCTCAGGTCATGATCTCACAACTCATGAGTTCAAGCCAGGCGTTGGGCCCTCTGCTGACAGCTCAGACAGAGCCTGGAGCCTGCTTCAGATTCTGGGTCTCCCTCTCTCTCTGCCCTTCCCCTGCTCATGCTGTCTCTCTCTCTCTCTTTCCCTCTCTCTCTGTCTCTCTCTTTCAAAAAATAAAAAATAAAAAAATAAACAGTAAAAAAAAATTCTGGAAAATAGGTAGGGACAGGCTTATTTCCAATTTTACAGATGGAAATAAGACCCAGAGTTGTTAAGTGAGCCACACAAGACCTCATAACTAGACATGAACCAGCCAGTTTAATAATCTCAGCACCAAATATACAGCTTGCTCCCAGGCAAGAATTACTATTTCTTTCTGGAGGCTAAGCAAAAGTAGCCCAGAACTGCCATGTAGTACTGGGGGAAGAACATGGGCTTTGGAGGCAGACAGTCCTGGATTAAAATCTCCATTCTGCCCACCATCATTCATTTTTTTTCACTCAGAGACTATCCTCCCATGTGCTATTGCCCTCACAGGCACTGGCGATAAACAGTGAACAGGAAGATGCACCACTGTTCCAGCAAATGAGTTCTTGAACAATGAATGACATTCACTGATGAGAATAAGAATAAGCCCATCACCTATAATGAAATGTTGGGTGAAATATGCTATGAAGACCGTAAAGTGCATAAGGGGATAGAGACATGGTGTGGCAATGGTGGTCAGGGATGATGTCATGTGTGTTAATCCCAGATTCAAGTGATCTGGGTCGGGGCTTGGGGAGTCCTTTGAAAAACTCCCCTTTCATTATTGGGATTGATCATTCTGTTCTCCCGATCTCGTGTACGTTTGAAATACTTCATAACAACAAAATGG